AACAATATAAGACAAAAAACTTTGAAAAAAAAAAAAAAAAAAAATTACCTAAACGTCACATCCGGTACTTTCAAATGGGGCATTCTTTTTCGATTTAGCTTGACATTAAACAGTGTTGTGTGGAAGGACCGAGATTTCGGCATACAGCTTTTCTGTACTCCACCAAAACCTGCTCAACGCTATGAGAATGAAAAATAAGATAAACCTTCCACTCCAACAAAAATTCAGCCAGCAAATATAGGACGTTGCTGTTCTTAACCTATGTTAGAAAACACAAAATACAAAAATGACACAGTATTTAAAGGAAATCTGGAAGGACAAATTACAATGATTCATTTTACTAAATTAACCAGATGCATTCACACAATAGATCAACAGAAACGCTGGCCGCTATCACGCCTATTACACACGCAGAGTGGACGCATTGTAACCTTATGATGGTGATCTCGAAGTCCTCCTCCGCCAGTCCTTTCCAGGCTCCGTGCAGAAACTCCCTGCACCACAAATAAGCCTTGCGACGGGTCTCCAGGTCCGGCTGTTCGGGGCGGACAAGCTCCCTGGAGTCCTCCTGGGTGTCGGGCTGGACATGCAGAGCATTCGCAGTCACCAGGAGGCCCAGCGACATAGAAGGGGAAGACGAAACCCCGTTGATAAATTTGGTTTTCATGTTTATTTATTTATTTATTTTCTATCAAGAAGCAAGAAAGATTAAAAAAAAAAAAAAAAAAAAAACGCAGTCTCCACGTTTTGGATTGTGTCGCAGGTGGATTTAATTCGGCTATTTCACGAAATGTTCATGAAAAGCAAAGCTCTATTTTTATTATTCGATATTGCGGTTTGTTATAGTGTCGATTTTAAAAAAAAAATAAAGAATGCAAATGTCAGAGATAAACGACGAAGCTGAACCTTAAATGGCAGAGACTGAAACTAGGATGAGAGATGCGCAGACTATCAGAGAGAGGGGCGGGACGTGGAGGGAGAAAAAGGACCCGCCCGTTCCGCTCTCTGATTGGTTTGATCAGAACCACAACAAATCTGGCGATGCATTCAAAGAGTATGGGACATGTAGAAAAAATTAGTGGAACGTTTCCTTCAATTTCTTGCTTTATATAATAATAATAATAATAATAATAATAATAATAATAATAATAATAATAATAATAATAATAATAATAATAATAAAATACAGATAAAGTCACACAAAAAAATGTTAAATCACTTGATGAAAAAAATAAAACAATTAATTTTTATGTATTTTTCCCGTATACCAACAAATATGCAGATAGAGTGTAAACTTTTAGCATCTATCCAGGTTCACAGTGTCACTCAAAATGCTTTATATGTCCATACAAACATTTGTTAATTAATAAAAATCAATAATTAAATACTAAAAATAACAATGTGCATATTTTGAAAAAAATATAACTTCAGTGAGCTGGTTTATCTAATTTCTTAGTGTAGCTTTGGGGTAGATGACAAAGGCCGAGAATCTTCACTAAAGACTTTAAGAAGACATTTCTAATAGGCTTTCCGTGAACAACCAAATTATCCATTGAAAGGAAACTTGTAGGCCATTCAAAGCGTATCTAAAAATTTAAATCTTCAAGTAGAAATTAACAGCCAGAGCCAACCAACAACCTTAATTCATTTCATTAATGTAACTTATATATATATATATATATATATATATATATATATATATATATATATATATATATATATATATATATATATA